AAACAGCAGATGTAAGCATCGGTGACCGTCTGTAAGCATACACTTACACGGTAATGAACTGTGGCTAATCTGGGCGAAATTGGCGTTAACTAGGCTATAAAAGTTAGGAGGAGGGGGGTGGGGGTAGCGAGTATCTTCTTTAACAAGCTGTGAACGTCTCCCCCCCCCCCCCCCACACACACACCAGAATCTTTATAGCGTCGTTTGAAAACCCGAGCCCAATTTGGATCTCTGGAGCGTGTTATCTTATCGGGGTATCTGATCCTGGCCCTTTTTGTATGTTACACGGCTCCGGAGCCACGAGCCATGGAGCCGTGACTCCACGGCGAACGGCTCATAAAAAGTCTTTTTACCTTTTTAGTTGTTTTTATTTACACCCTCCCCGTCCCCGCCCCATCACCCGACCCCCGGCCTCGCCCAATCATCCCCCCACCCTCCAACTGAAGGATTGGATGCTACTGTTTATGTTATTGTCTGCCAGCGAACTGACCCACAAGATTTCGTTGAGACAGCGCTGCTGTGGTCACCCCATGTGGTCGGGTCTGGTGGACCTAATAGGCCAGATCTTTGACCGGGAGGTTCCCCGTGATATCTTGTTTAATCTTTAAACAGCATGCGAACGACCTAGAAGTTAGATGCGGCTTGGTCAGGGGAGTGATTTTTTCTTTCTTTTTTTTTTCTTATAAGTTAACGAGCTGACTCGCGACGTAGCATACGCCGCTATTTAGTTTAATTCCGATTTTTCAGTAATTCATAATTTGTGAATTGGACACTACCAACTGAAAATATTTTGCTTTAAAACACTATCAGTAGCTCATGAAGGACGATTATCCTCACCCTCACTTTCCACTCCTCTAGAGAATTATAAATTTATATCGAAGATATTAACGGAAGGACAAGCAGTAGTTCAGAAGGTGAAATATTAGACGAGATTTTATTGTGTTGGCTACAATATTGTAAATTCGCATATTTCAAAAGCTACAGTCAACTAGAGAACATATTTGTTATCTTGTAATGACACAAGCTCGAAATATGGAAAAAAATTAAATGTTTTCTATTTTCCCGTAGTTTTCTTTTTCTTCTTCGTTCTTAACTGTAATGTTTGAATGGATTTCCCCCAACACATGTATGTATTGCGTGCCAACTTTTCTGCGTTTGTTTTTGGATTTGCTTCTATATCCTTAGTCCAACCCGGAACTAACAACAAAGCAGCAGTTGTTTAGTTTTGGAATTTCCTTTTTTTTTTTAAATCTAACTCCTTACTGAAGATATTAATTTGGATTCATTTACGACTTAGTAGTGGTGTGAATTAAGAGTTATTGTTCTTTATTGTTGTTTTTTAAATGTATCTTTATGATGGAGATAACGAGTCGACTCCATGTTGTGGGCTAAAAGAATACGTCTGTGATTGGTTGATAATGGAGGAGGGATAAAGGGGAGTAGAGGTGGAGGGGGAGGAGGGATAATGATGGGGAGGGTGCGATGGTAGGCGAGGGGTCAAAGGGATCGGGATAGGGATCAAGGGTGAGAGGGATAAAGTACTGGGGATAATAATGAACGGGGGTGGAGTTAAAAGGATGTGAAGGGAAGAAAGGGAAGGGGAAATTAACGAAGGGAAAGGGATCGGGGGAAAAAGGCGGAAAGGGTTAATATTGGAAAGGAAAGAAAATAAAAAGGGGGAGGCATGAAGAGAGGATAAGTAGGAAAGGATGAAAACGAAACACAGATCTTAAATTATTTTATAGACCACCCTTAACCACAACGAGGATACAAGTTTAAAAAAAAACAACAACAAACAGGCCGAGAGTTTTGTAAACCGACAGGTCTCTCCATCAGCCCAACAATTTGCATACCAACAACAATGACATTAATTGCTCGCGTTGTTAGCGCATAATTAACCAGCGCCAACCAGCCAATGGGATTCGATCAACCTCACATTGGTTAATTAATCCTTACAAATACTAACGGTCTAAATTTCAGTACGGGGGCTCGCCTATCTGTGGTTCGCATTTTTTTCGGTGCGTAATGGGACTTCAAGTTGAAGACACTTGAGTTGTAAGGAGGTCATTAAATCTAAGGGGCGAGCACTCCGTACAGGTAGATTCTGACGGTAGATGGCCCTGTCTTGTTAGAGAGTTGTGACGTACTGGATGGAGCTCTTCATCACGGGGAAACAAGAGTTGAGAAGAACTGACGTCGTTTAGTATCATAATGGTATTTGTTTTTTTGGCTGCGGGTGTATTGCTATCATCGTGGGTGATATTATTTATAAGGAGAATATGAGAGATGGAATGATTGTTGGTTATCAGTACTAGATCTGTTCAGTGTTTTGTTTGCTATGCCCGTTTGGGTTTCAAATCTTACTGTACTTAACCCACCCTAAAGCAATGAATCGTGTACGATCGCGACGCATACAAACCCGTGGGGCAAGTGAAGTAGAGTTCACCTGTTTCTTTGATATCGGCATATGGAGGGATAGTGTGGACTGCACTATGCCCAGCCGCCTTTATTTTAACGTAAGTTAGGTACCCAGCAGAGTTTGGTGGACTCAGAGACGTTTACTGGCATGAACCCGGATTCGAACCCCAAACTTTCGGTTCGGGTCTAGAGCACTACCGCTACGCCACGTCTATATATATATATATATATATATATATATATATATATATATATATATATATATATATATATATCGAGGAGATTAAGTAGTTAAAGTCACTTGCCAGTGATTAGCGCCCTCCAAATCTCCCGCGGACAGCCTAGCTGCAAATAGAAAATTAATGCCCCTGTTTTAAACCACACAATCGATGGTTATCGCACGCTCACTCGGCAACTGTATCTGCCATGGATAGGAACAATCAAGGCCGATAACTCTGTCCTATCTGTGTGAGGGGGGGGGGGTGATTTCAACTTGAGGGTGGTGATAGAGTGGAGTGAGATATGTAAGAAGTGTGAAGAGTTTATCTAAACTGTGATAACCTAATGAATCTGACGGTTTTTATTTTATTTTTTTACTCTGTTTTCTATTGTAAATCGTAATCTGGTTATATTAATTCAATAACTAAAAGTAATAAATAGCATCGGACGTGTTTTGTTTTTGTTAATTGTTTTTTTTTTTACTTTTTTTTAATTGTAAATTTAATCAGGAAATAGTAATATTTGTTTAGTGAAACTAATCAATATGAAGTATTTCTGTTGTTTTATTTTACTTTTCTTTTTTATTGTAACTGTTAATCAGGGTATAGTCACTAAGTAAGTGAATTAAAAAACCTTTTCAGTGTGTATGATAACCTAATCAATCGGATGTGTGTTTGTTTTTTTCTAAATTAAAAAAAAAGGTTCATCGTAAATAATTTTCGAAATAATGTAATTAAATAAATTGAATTATAACACGTTTGCATTGAGTATCAAACCAAAACAATCTTGCGTGTATTAAAAAAAATTTTTTTTTTATTTTAAATTTTAATCAGGGCATTGCGACAAATTATAGAATATTATAAAACGTTCACAATTTGTCAATTGTGTCTTAAAGTTCCGGCTGGTGAAGACCTATATAGAATTCGCAAACACGTGAACCGAAATCATCAGCAAAAACATGGGTTATGGGAAAATTTTTGCGAAAATAAATTATAACCGTGAATAGGATTCTATTTTCCTTATGCTTGGGATGATTTATTATGCGAAAATTGCTTTTCAATTTAAATGTTTAGCTTTTTCTTTTTGTTTGCTAACCACCTGTGTATAACACCGCATTAAAAAATCGTTTATTTTTTTATTCTAAAAAGTGAGGCGACTTAAAAAAAATATGTCTACCGGTTAAACGAAACAATACAATAGGAAACAAAGGTTGTTTTTTTTATGTGTAACGCTGGGATCAGAATCTATTTTCTCACACATTGTGACTTGTAACTGAACAAAAAAAAATGTATAAGATGGTGGAAGATGTATGCGACAGGTTGGAGAACTCCTCGCCTCCTGTATTGTCCTGTCGGCTGTTTTATCCTGTCGGCTGTTTTGTCTGTCGGCTGTTTTGTCTGTTTTGTGCTTGTCTGCTCTTGTGCCGTGTACGGGGGGGGGGGGTGTATTGTTCAAAACCTGAAACTGAGATGAGAGTCGGTGTTAATGCACGGCGTGAATTAACGATACATCCTCTGGGCCATTTTGGTAGAGCCTGGTTTTAATAGTTTGGGAGTGAGGTGTGGGACTGGGGTGGGTGGAGGGTGTAGGAAAAAAGGCCGACACCCTAAAGGCCGACAGTTGTACTTTAAATTCATCATTATGTAACTTGTTTTTAATATATACTGCATATTTATTTTATTGGAGTTTGTTCTTTTATAAAATGTGTCGGCCATATGTCCAGTCGGCCATTTTATGTCGGCCGTATAGATGTCGGCCTTATTTTCTGTCGATCTTTAATCAATGTCGGTTTTTTCTCCATGTCGGCTTTTTCTCCATGTCGGCTTTTTCTCCATGTCGGCCTTTTGCCCATGTCGGCCTTCTGTCCATGTCGGCCTTTCGTCCGATCCCTGTATGTTGACGTGGGTAGGAGAGATGGTCGACCATGAGCTGGGTGTGGAGAATATGGTTCATACATGCCGTGGTTGAAATGAATATATTTGGCAATCTTCTTCTGTCTTTACATTAAGTTTTAACCCCCCCCCCCTCCCCCTCCCCCCTCTCTCCTTGTGATGTTGAAATAACAATGCATGTCCTATATTGATAACTGAATGTCTCACACTTAAAAAATAAATAATTGTAACCGATCTTTGTCTTTAGTTACTGCTCATTACTTCGGTTCCAATCATTGGTCGCTAATTGCAAAGAAAATGCGATTTTGAAAAAGAAAATTATCGAATTAGCCAAACACAACACCAACATCAAATCCACGAAAAGGAAAAGCTCTTTACTTCATTTCTATCAGTACCACTCTATAGTTTCTTTACTGGACTATAAAAATATGGCAAAAGTTTAAATTTCTTTCCTTTTTTTTTTCTTTCCAGGAAGGATAACGATGACAAGCTTGTTACCGGTAAGTTTTTTTTTATCATCTTGTAATCAAATCATAACATCGATCCTTACCGTGGGACGGTATGGTCGAGTGGTAGAGCATACCACTTCTAACTTAAAAGTCTCAAGTTCGGATCCCAGTCTTGAGTCCACCCAACTCTGATGGGTACATGACTCACTTTATGAAAAGTATAATCATACAACCCACCTACTAAACCAACCAGACCCCGTAGTCTCCTTATTGAGAACCCCGAACTTTAATATCTCACTTTACGAAACTGTATCCTTCAGTCTCACCCTCACCCTATCTCCCCCACCCCCACCTACCGCACGGAGATGAAGCCTCTCTGGCCGGGCAGGATACAGGCCGCAAGTGAAGTATTTTCTTCTCCAGGCTGGCAACATCAAAAGTCAAAGCACCTCGGCACACCGTGTCTCCATGCGGCTGTGTTTATTTGTGTTTGTATCACGTCTTTTCCGAGTCCAAACACAGGGGGGGGGGGGGGAGACGTAACGTGTTAGCATATGAGGGTTGGGGGACCTAGCACATTGAGCTAACTTAACACACTGGTGTGGGGATATAGCACATTGTGCTAACTTCACACTATGTATTGGAGACTGCACTTTTTGCTGTTGATGTAGCACAATGAGCTAACTTAACAAACTTTGCTGTGGGGATGTAGCACAATGAGCTAACGTAACAGACTTTGCTGTGGGGATTGAGCGCATTGTGCTAACTTAACGTATCAAAGACTGCGATTCGTGCAGAGGTTAGAGCACTTTGTGCTGGAGACTTGACAAAATGTGACGAAGTTGTAGCATACGGTAGTGGGAATGTAGCACACAGCACTGTAAATTTAACCCAGTTTGAGAGGGACATTAACTGACACACTGTGTTGGAGATTTTGACGAAAAATTAGAACATGCTGCTAGGAATGTAGCACATAACACTGTTGATTCAGCATGGTTTGATACACTGTACTGGATATTTAGCATACACATTGTGCTGGCGATTGCACTTGGTGAACGGTATACAGCATTTTGTGATGGTAACCAACACTATCCCCTCTAAGGGGGAAAGCCTAATGTGCAAAATGCATTTTCTGTCCGCGCTGTTCTCAAAGTCTTATACAAGGATATATTTATTTTACGAAATCACTGCGCGGCAGCTTAAAACAACTGCGCGGCCGCGCAACCGCGCAGTTTAGAAGGAGCATTGGTAACCAACCACACTGAGCTGGAAACGTGGCACATTGTATCACAGACTTAGCACACGTTGCTGGGAACTTAGCACACTGTACAGTTTATTTAGCACATTTTGCTTGGAACTCATCACCTCCTGATTATAGATCGTGCACACTAAAGAGACCCCAAGACCTATCACATTTTAGTATGCCACATACACTCTGAACTAAAGTGACTTCTAGAGACTTAGCACATAAGTGCTTTAGCACCACAGTTCAGATATTCAGACATTCTGTACTATGTGTGTCTTTTGAGTTGAAACCGCTAATATATTACGGCTGGCTTACATTTTGTATTTCCGTTTGTTTGTTAGTTTGAAATACTCAACACGTAGTTTGTTTTTTTAAACGAATGTTTCTATTCACTTCGCACCCGGATTGATCTATCGTTAACAAAATGTGAAAGAATTTTTTTTTTTTAATTCTAAGTAAACGTAAATATTTGTATTTAAAAACTTTCAAGCTCAATGTCATTTCTTCAACCAACGTAAATGTTCTTATTTACAAACCTCAACGATGGAAGAATTTTCCTTTGAAATATTGTTCAGGTGTAGATGTACGCTATGGTGTACGATTTAAATGAACAGATGAATTAACCCTCCCCCCCCCCCACCCTCTACTACTCCGACGTGTACAATTCTCAGCGTCCGCGGAATCTTTTGATGAGCCGGCCTTCGCCAAGTGTTGATTCTGCTCCGGTTTGTATTCACTCCCGTGGGCTCCACACCTTCATACGAAACGACCTTGCCCTTGTCCGCCCGCCCCGCGCGCTAGTCCGGCTTCCGTTTTTGCCGGGTCCGGGGCATCGCCCCCCCCCCCCCCACCCCACCCATTTAATTGGACCGATCCTGATATTTTCTTACTTTACAAATATTTGCCCGGCCGCTTTGAAAATTGGGAGCAACTGAAATTATTCACCGTGGAAGTCTGAAACTTTTCGTCAGAGTACAACTTTTGCAAGTTTTTAAATTGGTTTATTACATATGGTATATTTGATACAATCTTTTATTAAAGCTTATGCTTATATAGTTAAAATTCATTAATTTTTTTTTCTTTAAATTTTTAATACATCCTAAAGCAAAGTAGTTTATTTTATTTTGTAGCGTAAGATTACCATGAGTATTATTTTCTAAAATACAAACTCAAAATTGTTTTTTTTACAAAAAAAAAAAAAGCCTTAGAATAGCATACAGTTGGTTCTATTGCAATCTTCAATTGTATGTATCTTTATTATGTTAAGTTTCTCTTATATTCTGCTGTAGGATAATGTTTTGAGCAAGATTCTGCTGTAGGTTGGGATGTATGTTTAGCACTTTGGACTCTATGATCTTGCTTTAGGTTTTAGTATAGGTTAATTAATCACTATATTATGCCCTAGGTTTAGTGTAGATTTAGCTCTATATTCTGCTGTAGGTTTTAGAGTAGGTTTAGCTTATACTTCTGCTGTAGGTTTAGCTTATACTTCTGCTGTAGGTTTTAGAGCTGGTTTAGCTTATACTTCTACCGTAGGTTTTATAGTAGGTTTAGCTTATACTTCTGCTGTAGGTATGACCTCTTGTTGACCCTAGTCACACACTCCAGTCTGAATAAAATTGTGGAAGAAGATTCATTGACTTGGCTGGGTGGCGTGGGATTAAAATTCTGGTTTATTAGCTCGAACTTGTCTCGGCAAATATTCAATTAGCTCCTCGTATGTGCTTGCCACATTATTTTTTTTTATAAACTTCATCGCCTTTTAAAACATTTTTTAACATTTTTTTTGTGTTAAACTTTTGTGTTCTTGTGTGATCATGTTTCAGTCCTCACTGTTGGCTTTTGTTTATGAGTACGGGTAAGATTAGGATTAGCTCTAACTCAATAATGTGAAATTACATAATTAGTGATGTGATGGCTCTAACTTTCATTGTAGAATTGTTGTGGATGTGTTTAAAGCTATTAATGATGCCTGATGTTTAGGTTAACTTTTTAGATAAGGTTTTGTTTTTATACTGATGTCGATCCTTACTATGCTGATGTGGTACTTATAAACCTATGCTAACCTTAAGCACGGAGTTTAGTTACAAGATGTTGCCCTTTTTTAATTATTTTTTTTGCATTATAAAGGGTTGGTGTTTAGGTTAGTAGCTAAACGATCACTTGATGAAACTTTACAGAAAATGCAGCTTCAGTTTAGAAACCTACAGTGACTTCATTTTTGTGCGTGTTAGGATTAAGATTAGGATTAGTCATAAATAGAAACTCGGTAGAATTATCGAGTTAGGGTTAGCATTTGACTTGTCACTACACAGACATTTATTATTATTTTAGAGTTAAGATTACGATTTGACTTTGTCGTTACAAAGTCGTATTATAGATTACGATTTGGCGTAATCGCTACACAAACTTCATTACTATTATAGTGCTAAGAGAAGCAACTGGTTGCTACTTCGACGCACAGTGGTATTGTTAATGTAGCTACACATGAATCACGTCTATGCTCCTTCCAGCTACACCTCTGCTTCTTTGAGCTGAAACTATTTCTATGGTCGTGCAACATTACTACACAAAGATTGATATTTCTAGGGTCTTGTAACATTACTACACGGAGATTGATATTTCGGGGATCTTGTACATGCACTACACGGAGACTGGGATACTGTCGTAGGATACCAACAAACAACCCAAACTTATGTGGCTAACGTCTCACGTTAAGGTTAGGGCTTTAATCCGCCCTCAACCTCCACCCCTACCCCCCACCCTTTGGTAAACATTACGATTCTTTCCCCTTGTTTGTAGAGCTCTCCACACGTGTGTGTTCTCGCGGTGTCTCGTTCACGTTAACCTCGGACGAGATCTCAGCGGTGCAGCGATTGAACGCATTTTTTCGGAGGTGTTTTTTTTTTTAAAAAAAGGTGTTTCAAAAGGTGTTACAAAGAGATAGTGTTATGCGCAGGGAAGGTCACCCCTAAGAGAGGCGTGGTGGTGGGGTGTGGGGGGGGGGGGGGTATATTTACACCTATTTATTTGATTGAAGCGAGATGCTTGTTGGGACTTTAAGTACGCGCCGTTCAGAAGTTTTGCAACACGTTAAGAGAAATGTAGCTTTCATGTACTGTTGTATTCGTCGTTTTTGTTGTTTGCTGTTTTTTTTTTTTTTGCTAGGTACTGTCAATAAATCTTGTTCTACGTTTGAGACAAGCTTCCCTATTCAACTTAAGATCCATGTATCACGTAATTATGGCGTGACCTCTAAAATATTTCCATGACCTACCCATCATTCAATTTAATTATCACTACAATTATTTATCTAAGCATCTGTTAAAAATCCGTAACCTATTCAACATTTTTACTTTTTTTCCATATATTCATACAACTATCCACAGTCCAACAACCTATCCACCAGTCTATCCATACACGCTTGAAAATACCAACCCATCCTTCAATCCATTAATTCGGAATCAACACTTAAATTCAATAATCCGATCCTCTCTTATTGAAACAGTCGTCTATCCATCACCCAACCCATATTTCCATCCTTGAAAAAATTCCTTCAGTCTATCTACCATACAATTCATCCATCTGTTTAACAATCCATCCATCCATTAATCCATCAATACATCCATTAAACAATCCATTGTCCATTCATCAAACAACTCAATAGTTAAATCACCAATCCTCTAAAAATCCATACTCCATTTAAAATCCATTCCTTCATAAATCCACCTGTCCATAAATTCAACCATCATATAGTACCCAATCACCAGGACTTTCAACTTCATTACTACTCAACTTGAAATTT